CTAAATGTAATCTCAAAGAACTGGATTAAATCTCAAAATAGTATCTGGCCAATTACTACAAGAGAACATCTCAAAACAGAACTGATTTTGCATTGAGGCTCATTTCCAGAGAGTTCCGAGCACAGGGTTTTCTAGAGCATCTTTGGCGACCAATTCCAGTATTAAATGACCTCTGCTGTCAAACATCATCTCAATGTCTCCTTGGGTGTGGGAGCCTGAACATCTGTTCATCTTCTCTTGATCACTCCGTCTTCCCAAAGCACAAATCGTAAAAACTCTCCAAAGGTGAACTCACTCGTGACCACCATGCAGGTCATGAGACAGGAACCCAGCCAGCACCCCAGGGTTCCCCTTTTCCTTGCCATCCCTGTGTCTCCTGCCAACATAACCGCTAACCTGACTTCCAACACTGGTTTGTATATGTCTGTTTCTTTTTTTGTCTGTTTATATATGTCTGTTTCTTTTTTTTTATCCACCTGAAGACATTTTTGCATTTATCTTCAGATAGAGCAGGAGGGAGAGAGGTGGGAAGAGAGAGAGAGAAACATCGGCGTGAGAGAGACACATCGAGTGGTTGCCACCCACACCCAACCGGGGCCGGGGACAAACTGCAACCAAGGTACACGCCCTTAGCGGGAATTGAACCCGGGTCTCTCCAGTCCGCAGGCCAACCCTCTAACCGCTGAGCCAAACCGGCCAGGGTGATATATGTCTGTTTCTAAAATTTACAAAAAGTGGTTACACTGTATAATCTGTGTTAGTAGCATCTTTACATTAAGATATGCTTCACACAACATAAAATTCCCCACTTTAATTTTTTTTTTTTTTTTATCCTCACTGGAGGACATTTTTCCATTCTTTGTTCAGATAGAGTGGGAGGGAGAGAGAGGGAGAGAGCGAGAGAAACATCGACATGAAAGGGACACATCGAGTGGTCACCACCCGCACGACCCAACCAGGGCCGGGGACAAACTGCAACTGAGGTACGTGCCCTTAGCGGGAACCAAACCCGGGTCTCTCCGGACCACAGGCCGACGCTCTAACTGCTGAGCCAAACTGGCTAGGGCAAAATTCCCCACTTTAAAGTGTATGCATCTGTTCAACAATAAAGATTTTAAAAAGTGTACGCTTCCATGGTCTGCACTATATTCTCCATTAGGCAACCATCAGCTTTACCTCATTCTGGAACATGTCCATCCCCACCGCCCTGCAGACACCCTGTGCCTATCAGCAGTCAGTCCCATCAGCACGTCCTCTTTTCTTTCTGCTCATAAGATCCACCTGCTATGTTCAGTAGTCAATATTTTTTCATTAGAGCCTTGGAAAATTTTAAAATGCAATTGCCAAGAAAAATGGCAAACAAAATAGAAAAGAAAAAAATTCAGAAAAGGAAACCTCAGAGTAGTCTCAACTGGACTCCATGAGCTATTGTAGTATAATGGGAGCCATTCTGCACATGGATAATAAGAACACTTTGTTAGAAGCGGGACTTGGCGTTGGGCCGGGCATGTATTCCTGTGGTCGCTCCTGGGGCAGGGGTCATGCTGTGTATAGTACTCCGTATATCCTCAGCTCTTAATAATTGGTGAAGGGTATCTTCCATCATTGATTACTACATGGTTATAGATATGAGCTGGTCATTTTTCACCTTATCAATGGGACTTTTAAACATTTTTGCTTCCTCTCAAGTGAGTTTCACTATCACTCAAAATCTGTCAAGAATTTAAATTGGTAACAAGAATCATAAAAGTTAGAGCTGGAAAGTATAATGGGAAGGACTGCATTCAACTCTGATTTGCAGGTGAGGCCAAGAGAACATGGATGGCCTTCCCAGGTCCCAGCGAGTGCCAGCGGGGATGGGCCTCTGACCCAGGTCTTTGCCGACCGTCTCCAAACCTACACTGACGTAAAAGGAACTGCCTTTCCCTCTTCCTGCCCGTACCTCATGCTCACCCCGCACTGAAATCATCTCACCTTTCATGCTGTGGACCTTTAACAAGCAGGTCAAATTTATAAGAGCATAAGAGAAGTTTGCCACCTACAGGTAAAAAAGAGAGAGAGAGAGAGAGAAGAAGAAGAGGAGGAGGAGGAGGAGGAGGAGGAGGAGGAGGGGGAGGGAGGGGAGGGGAGGGATGAAGGGAGGGAGGGAGGGCAGAAAAAGAAAGAAAGAAAGAAAGAAAGAAAGAAAGAAAGAAAGAAAGAAAGAAAGAAAGAAAGAAAGAAAGAAAGACCTAGGTTTTCAGAGTCAAGCTCTGAGGACCTTATGAAGCAAATGGGTTTTAAGACACTTCTTTGGGGAGCAGCTCTCAGTCCTGTGCAGGGAAACTATTATGAAGGGGTGCTGCCTTTACCATCCTCACTGCTGGTATGACAAGTTTCCACTATACTCTTCTTTTCAGCAGAATACGGTGCTATACAGTGCTACAGTAGCGGGAAAGAATGATAGACAATGAAAGGCATGAACATGTTTCTTAGCAACTGAGAACATGGTATCTCTTTTTCTGTTGGTATTTCCTCCTCACTGCTGAGAACTATCCGAGCGGGCAACTAGCATGACGTTGGGACAACTGGATAACCATTTGGAAAAGTTCTTTTAGAGTTTATGCCATCTACTAAAATAAATTCCAGATGGACTAAACATTTACGTGTGAAAGATGAACACGACCATGAAGTCACCAGAAGTCTGTGTAGGTGATTGCAGTGTAAACGGGGGTTGGGAAGACCTTTCTAAACATAACATCGAAGAAGGAAAAAACAGACATCTTACAACATTAAAAAATATAGGGAAACACCCTGGCCGGTGTGGCTCAGCGGTTAGAGCGTCGGCCTGCGGTCCGGAGAGACCCGGGTTCGGTTCCCGCTAAGGGCACGTACCTCGGTTGCAGTTTGTCCCCAGCCCTGACTGGGTCGTGTGGGTGGCAGCCACCCGATGTGTTCCTTTCACGTCGATGTTTTTCTCTCTCTCTCTCTCCCCCTCCTACTCTATCTGAACAAAATATCAAAAAATGTCCTCGGGTGAGGATAAGAAAAAAAAAAAAATATATATATATATGTATGTGTATATATATATATATATCATATATATATGGAAACACCACAGCCCTTCTTCCTCACTAATACTCAAAGAAAGGTTTATTAAGATGAGATTTCATTTCCACCCACATTTCAGACAAAAATTTCATAATTATCATATCCAGTTGACAATGACTGTGGAAACGACACCTTCATTTGCAGAACCTCTGGAGGAACTTGGCAAAAATATACAAGAAAAACTAAAAAACCCACCACTCAACATCCACTTAGAATTTATCCAAAGGATCTAATTACAAATACAGTTTTTATGGCCTTGTTTATAAGAGTGCCTAAGCTGGACCTGAACCAAACGTCTGAGAGGAAAGGAGGTGGAGTAGGTTACCGGATTCGACGCCATTGCAATGATCTTGCTGAACTCTCTGTGACTGGGGACATTTCCTAACATAGCGCTCGACGAGTAGGGCATGCGGCAGTGTGTTCAGTGTGACCCCGAGTACGGACTGAAAGACACATGCACGTCGGCACAGGGGGCTTTGGAAAACCCTGCCGCCCACGTCCATCATGATCGCCTCGGGGTGTGTGGCGGTGGGGAGAGACCACAATCTCCTGCACAAATGTTCTTGATGAGCAGTGCAAAGCAGTGAGGTGCACGTGTTAAAAGGTACACCCCAGGCGGGAAGTGTGAGCAGGGCAAGAGGAAACGGCACTCCACAGGCAAAAAGGTAAGAAGCAGGGGCCTGCCGCGTGAGAGAAGTAATGAAAAGCAATCTTAGTTATCATCAGGAGCAGCGAAGGCGCCAGAACACGCAGTTAGCCGGCCGCGACGTCAGGGCAGAGCGACGGCTTGCCAGGCTGGTCTCGGGGCCTGGGAGGGACAGGGGTGCCGCTGCTGGCACGACGGGGCCTGGGAGGGACAGGGGTGCCGCTGCTGGCACGACGGGGCCTGGGAGGGACAGGGGTGCCGCTGCTGGCACGACGGGGCCTGGGAGGGACAGGGGTGCCGCTGCTGGCACGACGGGGCCTGGGAGGGACAGGGGGGCCGCTGCTGGCAGACAGGGCCTGGGAGGGACAGGGGGGCCGCTGCTGGCACGACGGGGCCTGGGAGGGACAGGGGTGCCGCTGCTGGCACGACGGGGCCTGGGAGGGACAGGGGTGCCGCTGCTGGCACGACGGGGCCTGGGAGGGACAGGGGTGCCGCTGCTGGCACGAGGGAGCCTGGGAGGGACAGGGGTGCCGCTGCTGGCAGACGGGGCTCGCCGTCCTAGGAGTCACCCAGGAGCTAGGAGATCCCTAGACCCGATAGAGCGCTGCGCTGTCCAAAACACTCCGGAAAACGTATCGCTAAGTGGCCACGGGTGAAAACTCATTTAAAAATAACAAAGAAACTGTATTTTTCAGAACGGCTCATTGAAAAGTATTTCAAAGTGTTTGAGGTATGTCACTAAAATATATTGCTTTGTTAAAGTGTGATCCCCCCTGAACTTTTCAAACCCATTAATTACTCAGTTACGTTTAGGACAGCTCTTGGCTCACTGGTTCATGTGTTCTAGTCTGAACAGCTCCATCTAGTGAGGGGAGCCATGGGGACCGAGGAGGTCCGGGGTCTCGGCTGCAGCGCCTCGCAGCCGATTGGAGGGTTTGCATGGTCGCAGCTCTGCAAGTCCTCATCTTCATCGGGGGAATTAACTCCTACTAACCAAACTCACAGAGAGTTGTGTGTAAACCTCTAAGATGCCAATTTGATATTTATACTTATGACATAGCTACTAGAGAAAACAGAATACTCATATGAACCGAGCCAAGAATTTTATTCTCTCCTGACTTGCAAAATCTGTATTAGAGTGAGCCTTCTAGTTTCAAAGGAAAGCACAAGACTTTTACTAGTACATGCAAATCCCAACTTCACAAAGACCTATTATAGAAAGTGAGCACCTACATTGATGTTAGTGCACACATCATCTGTGCAATACTTGAACAAAAACTAAGTGCCAATAGTATACAGGAGAGTAAGTGTCAGTATCTACTCAAGTCAAATAATATACTTTATTTTAAAAAACAGTTCAACATTCAACATTCTTTCTCTAAGTTTCAACCAAGGCAATATATATAACCAGAATGATAAGCTGTGTAAGGTTTTCATGGGATCACATTTAAGATAACCATTAAACCAAAGATGATATTCTTTTACCCAAGTATGAGGATAACCAAATTACATTCTCTAATAATGTAAGTTAGACCTATAAATACACAGGACATTCTCTTTTCTTCTTATTTCATTGTTGTTTCCATACAGGAAAAACAACCCCAACAACTTCATATCACAATTAATGCTTAGAAGTACCGACTTCAGAGCCAGATGAAATTTTAGTTCAAATTCCAGCTCTACTACCCAACCAGCTGTGAGACCCTGGGCAAGCTTCTTACCTACACAGCTCATTTCCTCATCAATAAAGTGGAGAAGAGAGAGGCTGCAAAGACTGAAATAAAGTGTCATGGGCTGAACTCTCCCCCGCCCCCCGAGTTTACATGTTGAAGTCTTACCTCCCAGGACCTCAGAATGTGACCGTATTCGGAGACCGTCTTTAGAGACGCTGAGCAACACTGCACACTTTCTAGGTATGCCATGAACGCCAGGACCTGACCTATCCTTAGCCGTGTCTCAGGCTTCTGCTCCCACTGAGCGACCATGAGGCATGCAGTAACAACTCCCCTTGGACAAACACAGGGTTGTCTCTGCTTATTAGAAAGCAATGCATATCCCAAGCGTGTTCCCGTCATGTGACACAGCCCACGGTGTGTGCAGGCTTCCACCACTAACCCTTCGCGTTGCTCTCGTGGGACTTAGGGGGATGGGGAACTCACACAAACCATGTCGAAGCTCTGGCTACTGTTTTTGCTGTGGATCATGTCTTCTGTGGCAGCCCATAAAATAGCCACAGGCTAACTTGTGAGCATGTAAGGTAAAATCTCAGAGCCTGTGCAGTTATTGACAGCGATAATTTTCTTCTTGGTACAGCTATCATTTTAGTCACGATAACTTGGCTACTGGAAACCTTATTATTAGCATGATATATTACAAAATATTATTTCCCAAAGACTTAGCCAATACCACTACAAAAATAAAAAGCCCTCTGACTCCTGTGATTTTATCTGTGTGTGTTCAAGTCTAGTAATAATTTCACTGTCTGTCTGCAGTACTAACAGTACTAAATCCAGAGCCCGGCGCCACGCCTCAATCTTTGGTGTGACAAGGTCATAAACTCTTGGAATCTGTTCCAGTTTGTTTGAAACGCCTGAATGAAAAACTCCACTACTTAGTTTACTATATTCATTCAAGATGTAAGATGAAGGCGAGCCAGAGTCTGCGGCGTGTTGCAGATGGTACTGAATGAAAGTCTGGGCTTCCGGTTCTGATGAGGAGCCGGCAGTGTTACAGACGAGAGCTGAAAGGTAGCTGTGCCACCCACTGGCCAGGCACTTAAGCACAGTTGGTCTGTACAGTGCCAGGGAGGAGGCCAGCCAAGAGGAAGTGTTATGAAGCCCTCCTGAACAGACTTGGTCTCCTTTATTCAGAGACTGCTCCGCGAGAACTTGAAGATGGCTAAGACACAAAAACTCCACGGCACCACCGCCAAGGAAGACCGTTTGCTCTCTGAGCGCATGGTACAGGCGATTGGCACAAGTCCAGAACCGGTCTTCTCTGCTTTGCATCTGCGCAGTGGCTGGGCCAGTGAGCACTGCTGTGACCAAGTGAATGCCTTCTGCTGTCAACACGATGGCCATTCTGCGGGCCCCGTCTCCGACACCCGAGGGAACACGTCTCCAGGCCGTCACAGAGACCCCGCTGCCCACCGAGTCTTCGTTCACCTGTGTGATGTAGGCCAGCGGGACGGCTCCCGTCGCCTCTGCAAAGGCCTGCATCACACTGCCCGCCACCGACCCGATGGCCCACCGCTGGCTGCGCGCGCATTTCTCAACCAGGTGCTCGGACACGCGGCCGTGTACCAGGACCAGGTGCACCTCGAACTCGATTAACACCTGTAACACGTGATCTGCCCACGGGGACTGCGGGCTGCCTTGCTGGAGCCTCTTCGTGCTTTCTGACACGGGTTTCACGTGTGCAGACCTGTCAAACCCCAGGTGGCGGTAGTTCTCCGTGAGGTCGCCCTCCATGAGAAGGACCCGGAGAGGCTGCTTCTGCAGGTCCTCGAGCAGGGTAGCACTGGGCACCGAGACAACCGTCACGTAGCCTGGGCGCACGCAGGAGCAGGTTTCGGGCAGACCTGGCAAACAACAAGTGAAGACTCTGGAGATGGCAAAGGTGGAGGGCCCCGCCGGGCCACCCCGGTGCGCGCTGGCCGCCCGGTGCTGCAGCCGGGCCGCTCCTGCCACCAGCCGCATGCTGTCGCCGTCCCCGTGACTCAGGCCCTGCGCCAGCTCCGCCAGGTCGCTGCAGGCGCGGGAGTGGGCTCCGGCTGCCCCGCTTGTCGGCTGATCGAGAGCCAGCCCACGGCAGTGCCGGCTGTGGGTGAGCGCGGACCTTCTGCGGGGGCCGCCCGCCAGCTGACCGCGTCTCGGGGGTGGGGGGCTGGGTGACAGGCCCTCACCTGCTGCACCCGGGGCCTGAGCGGTCCTCCCGGGAAGACTGGGAACAGTCAGCGCCTGAGAGGCAGCATCTTTGAGGTCACACCCTTTCGGTATCAAACCAGCGTCTGAAGGGACCTGCGGAAAGGGACACAAACTGACACTGAACGATTCAAGCCCAGGCAATGTCTCCGTGTGGCCTGCCCGGCCAAGGACATCTCGGAGCGGTAACTGAAGGGAAGCCACGGCCTCGATGCAGGAGCTCAAGCCTTCCGACATCCCCGACACGATCAGAGGCGTGGGGACGCCCAGGTGAAGACATTCCTCCACGGCGCGGCTCCACGCGCCCACGAGCAGCAGGAGCGTGCTGGTCCCGGTCCCGTAGCAGCTGTGCTGCGCTCGGACGGCCTCGCTCAGAAGCTGCCCCGTGGCCCCGGGCAGGTCCAGGCCCTCCAGCAGCCTCACTGCGGAGCTCGCCAACACGCTCTCACGACCCTCCGCATCCACGACGAACTTGGCTGCCTTCACCGGGCCCAGGAAAGTCCTTGCTGTGTGCGCAAAAGGTGAGAGCTGCTGAAGCCCCACGTGCCTTCTCTGGCCCGTGCCCCTGCGAGCCATCCAAAGTCATCGTCTGCAGACAGCGAGTGCGGTGCTCAGAACAGTGCCTGGCGCAGAGCTGGTGCCTCATGGGACTTGCTGTGACACTACTGCTGCTCTCGTGTGTGCTGGGGTATCTCACCCTCTGCTCAGGGTGTGGGGAACTGCGTGGGTGGGCGCCACACGGATGCAGAGGCCAGCGGAGAATGTTCTAGTCACCCAGAGGAGAAATGAGGAAGAGGGATGGACGTGAGCGAAAGTCTGGTTACTGGTTGGAATGTCCAGAGGAAAAACAGCACTATTTGAAGGAAGTTCAAGAGCAACTGGACTTTCTCACCGAATTTTCCGAATTCACATCTAAAACGAATAGGAAGAAGTTACAAGAGACTTTAGCTCGATAAAAAGAACTTTTTAAACAAAGTGCCCCTTAGCCGAAAAGCTGTGTATAATAACCTGTCTTGTGAGATGTATGACCATATCAGAGCTAAAACTGTAGATAATACAAACTTCTCTTCCACCTCCAACACATTATAATTCTTCAAGTAATAGTTTTATCATAATCTTGTAAATCCCAGATATCAAAGAGCACACAGCTCTTTTCCTTTCCTTGTGATACTAGAAAACTGTTGCAACACCACCCAGACTCGTCCTTGAGGCTGAGGAGCACATGGTCCCAGACGCACCTACGGTCAGCAGGAGGCCAGAACACACCTACGCCTCGAAAGCAGCTTCCTGCAGACTTTCACGGGCCAAGGAGAAAAACTGGGCAGTCTAGGAAAACACATAACAGACTGTCTGAACTCTGTTTCAAATTCTCTTTCGGGAAATTCTCAATTCTGTAAAATAAAAATAACTCTTGATACAAGCAAGGATAACCCGAGACAGCATCAAAATATACAACTTCAATAATCCTGACCCGCCAAGTCTTACAACTATCTGACCTCAGCAGCTCTTGCTGTCTGTCCTTCACTCTCGCCCCTACTATCCACTCTCTACTCACCAGACTAAACTCCCATCGCTCACTACTACAATCACTCCCTTCACATACACCCTGAAAAAGCTTGTCCCTTTTTGGTTCATCGTACCTTGCAAAGCCAATAATCTTTATAACATCCAACTCGCTCTACTCCATACCCGAGGCAGCTGAAAATAAACAACACACACAACCATACTGCTTGGTGTCACTTTAAGTTCATGACCCCAAATCCCAAATGGTCTTTAATACTACCTGGCAACCTATTTCCCTAGTCTGTTTTAATCTTTTTTTTTTCTTTTCTTTTTATGGTTATAGTTTTCTGGGTTCTATTTTTAAAAGTTTTGCCTATCACTGAGTACAAAAGATATTCTTTTACATTGCTTCTAAAAGCTTTATGGTTTAGTCTTTCTTTTTTCTTAAATGGAGGTGAATTCACATAACAACCATTCTAAAGTGTACAATTCACAATGCGGTCCACCCACTACGTCCATCTAGTTCCAAAACCCCCATCACCCCAAAAGGAAACCCTGCAGTCGCTGAACAGCCTCTGCCTGCTCTCACCCCAGCTCCTGCAGCCACCAGCCTGTTTTCTGTTTCTGGGCATTCGCCTATTCTGAGTATTTCACATAAATGGCGTCATACGATATTGACCTTTTGTGCCTGGCGTCTTTCGCTCAGCATATTGTTTTTGAGGTTCCTCCACTCCTTTTTGTGACTGAGTCACATTCCACAGTGCGAAGGCCTCATTTTGTTGATCCATTCATCCCTCGGTGGACATCTGCATTGTTCCCACTTTTTGATCATGGTGAACAGTGCTAATGTAAACATTCGTGCACAGTGTTTCAGTACCTGTTTCCATCCGTGTGGCTTCCCGTCAAGAGCGGTCACATGGTCGAAGTCCACGTCTGACTCTGAGAACTGCTGAGCTGCCTTCCCCAGCAGCTGAGTCAGGGGACTAGCGAGGCTCTGGGAGAAGAATCCTTTTTGCCTCTTCCAGCTTTTAGTTGCTCCCAGGGATGTCTGGCTTCTGGAAGCACAACTCCGACCTCTGCCTCCCTTTCATATGGCCTTAAAAGGACAACTGTCATTGGATTTAGGGGCCACTCTAATCCAGTATGACCTCATTTTAAAGAATTATGTCTACAAAGCCCCTACTTCCAAATAAAATCCCTTTCTGAGATTCTGGGAGGACATAAATTTGGGGGGTTACATGATTCAACTTTATGTTCATTAAAGCTCATCTTCTGTTTTCTTTGTTGTTTTGTTTTAATAATAGACATCCTAGTGGGTTTCAATTGATATTTCATTGTGTTTTATCCTGCATTTTTCTAATGACTAATGATCTGAAACATCTTTTCATGTGATTTTTGGCCCATTTGTATATCTGCTTTGGAGAAATATCTACTCAAGTCTTTTGCCCATTTTAAAACTGTGTTGTCTGCCTGGCCAGTGTGGCTCAGTGGATTGAGCGTCCTCCCATGGACTGAGAGGTCCTGGTTTGACTCCCACCCAGTCAGGGCACATACCTGGGTTTCGGGCTCAATCTCCAGTAGGGGGCATGCAGAAGGCAGTGCATCAATGTTTCTATCTCTCTTTCCCTTCCTCTCTAAAAAACTAATAAAAACATAAATAAATAAACAAACAAATAAATAAATAAAACTGGGTTGTCTTTTTGCCATTGAATTGCAAGAGTTCTTTATATATTCTGGATATAAGAACCTTATCAGAATATGATTTGCCAATATTTTCTCATTTTGTAGGCTGTAGTTATAAAATGTGCTTTGATGCATAAAGGTTTTTAATTTTAATGAAGTATAATTTGTCTATTTTTCTTTTGTTGCTCATACTCTTAGATCATCTTTAAGAATCCACGTCAAACCCAAAGTCATGAAGATTTAACTCAGCATTTCCCTCAAAGAGTTTTATAGTTTTGTATTTATATTAAATTCATTGATACATTTTGAATTAATTTTTGTATAGGATATGAGGTTGGGGTCCAGCTTCATTTTTTTTGCATTTAAAAACTGAAGAGGCTATTCTTTCCCCACTGAGTGGTCTTGGTACCTTTGTCAAAAGTCAACTGGCAATAGACGTATGAGTTTATATATGGACTCTCAATTCTATTTCATTGGTCTATGCGTCTATCCTTAAGCCAGGACCATATTGTTTTGATCACTGTAGCTTTACAGTAAGTTTTAAAGCCAGAAAGTGAGAGTCCTCCTTTGTTCTTTTTGTTTTAGCTTTTACTCTTATGGTTATCATTGATCTTAAACTGATTTTTGTAAATGATGTGAGGTATGGGTCACTTTTTCCCTGATAGGCAGCTGACCAGAATAATCTGCTGAGAAAACAAGCTTGAAAAGACAAGGCTGACTTTTTGCTTTTGTTTTCATTTGTAACATGAGAGCTTATGTATGAGGCACTTCACATGCATTGTTACGTAGTTCTTACAACAACATGAGGTAGGTATTATAATTAACCTACTTTAATAGAGAATGAAGACTAGTTAGTTAACATATACAAAACCTCACAGGTAGTAAGTAGAAGATACACACTCAAACCCAGGTTTGTCTAATGCCAAAGTCCCATGCTATTAACTACTATGCACTACTGCCCTCTGGCTGTCCCTCTATCAACCATGACAGTAATTCACCCTCTTCTGCAGACTCTTTCACTTATCTCCCACTTCCAAGCCTTTCTACCTTCTCCCACGCCTGTTCATACTCTTCATTTGGATGTGCCCATCTTTTTCAGGTGTCAGAGTCTATGTTTATGGCTTCCCTTCTGTACTATGTTTAAATCACAAGATTATTACTACATGAGTGAAAAGTCATAAAGAATTTAGAACAAAAATAAAAAGTCATAGGCTATTTCAAACTTAGTCTGTATTTAATTTATGTGGAAAAAGTTTCCCAAAGGAGATATGAAATTAATCTACAAGCAAAAATTGATATCAAACTAAACACTCACAAGAACTGTCTCGGCATTTGAAGAATCTATTCCAAGTTTCAGCCTTTCCTTATAAACGCCTTGATGTTGCCACACTAGAACATACATTTATTTTCATTTTTGCACATGCTATACTCTGATTTGATTATCCTCCACTTTCTTCACCTCGGCAAATGCTGTAAACCTTTCACGACCCAAGGCAAATACCATATTTTTGAAACAACCTTCTCCAGCGCCCCAGGGAGGGCTACTGCCTCCTTCCTGTGCTCCCAACGCACCTGTCACACAAAACTCCTAAAGCATTTAGCACTTTGTATGTATGTCTGTGCCCATCTCCTCCACCATCCTGTGGGTTCCTTCCAGATAGCAGGCATTGTGCAGGACATTAGAAATCATTCATTTCTGTTCAGGAGAGGCTCACCTCCCCGTTCCTACCAGGAAGTCTGGGGGCCACCTCAGTCCTCTGCCCCACCCATTAGCTGGTCCCTGACCAGACTCAGGACTGGGCAGAACCAGCAAGGCTGGCCTCTCTGCACAAGAACATGCTTTGGTTTACAGCAGGTACATCGGTGTTACTGAGTCAACCGAATTGTCGGGCCACCTGGGTCCCACTCCAGAGTGCGGATCTAAGCGGGAGGTGGTTGGACCGCCAGCCAAATCCTGGGGTTCAGCCAACGGAATGGCTGTGGGTCAGAGTGTGGGTGTAGATGTCCGCGAGCGATCCCGGGTGCGGCCGAAGTCGTTCCCAGCAAATACACACGGCGGCACAGGTACGACCTCAGCCCTAGGCAGGGAGGCTTGCGGGGCATCCGAGACCCGCCCCGCCCCCGCCCCGCTCCTCCCGACCGCGCCGCCGCCCGGCGCCCCTCACCTGGGGGCCCCCGCCGGAATCCCTGCGAACCACGGAGGAGGCAAGTGGCCCGGCCCAGGCACCGTGGAGGCTGAGCAAGGTCCAGCGGCGATCCCCAACGCCTCTACCATCCCACCCGCGGGGAACCAGGGCTGCCAACGCACCCGGCCCAGCGGGCCCTCCCTTCTCACTCGCCCTTTCCCTCGGGAACGCAAACGAGGGCTCCCCCGACTCCACCAAAGACTCCGCAGTCGCTGGAAGCACCTCGCTACTCACCTCCTTCTGTTCTCCAGCCCCCGGGGAACTCCTGGGCTCGCTTCCCACCGTCAGAAAGGCTCGGGGGGGGCACACGAGGACGCCCAAGCGCGCTGGCGAAGACGCCCCCCGCCCCGCACGCAGTTTGCGCAAGTGCGAAAGGAGCCAAGCGGGCCGCGCGGCTGGGCCTGGTCGCTAGGAAACGAGACGGAACGTTCCGCTTAACAGTAGACGCGAAGGCAAAGCGTCACGCTATTGGTAGATAGTAGAAAGGGGGCTGGCCTCAGGGTCTTTTTTTCTGGCCATTGGGTGAAATGGCCGTCAATCATTTCAGGGGCAAGCCTGAGTGGGCGGGGCTGCCTGAAGTCGGCGACAGCGGCCTTAGCAACCACTTGGCCGCCGAGAAGGGCGCTGTTGGGCTGCGTGGTGGGAGGTGGAGGTCCCGGCTCCCGGCTGAGACCGCCGGTGGCCGACATGGTGAGTGCGCAGCTGCAACCTCTTGCTGGGACAGGGGCTGGGGAAGGGCCGAGATTCCTCTCCGGAGCAAGGAAGGAATTCCGTTTAGACCGTGAAATGCAGTATTCGCCTCCTTTTCATGATCCTCCAGTGTCAGCAGTATCCCCTCCTCTCGTTGCAAATAAGCGCCTTGTCCGCGGCCCTAGGGACAAGGGGCGGTTCTCCAGTTCATGTTCCCTTCAGGAGCCCCATCAAGCGCCAACACCGCCAGTCTAAGATAGGTTCCCTGATTGGCCCGAAAGGAGTTCAAGACAAAGAATAAGAGGCTGAAACAGCTGGAGGGCCTGGGCCTCTAGGAAAGTCCTGGACTCTGAAAAACTGGCCAGGGACCCAGGAGCTCTGCCACTGTAGGAAGCGGGGGCTTCCGAGGGCGGCCACGCCAGTGCACCTGCAGCCCGGCGACCAGACAGACCAGAGAGCAGCCGCCGCCCCGCCAGCACGCGCCGAGGCCGGTTGCCGCCCCTGCCCTGCTGCCTCCACCCGAAGCTGGGGACGGGATGCCCAACTGAGCTGCAGCTGGGGCCCGCGAGGAACGCCGACCCCGCCGACCCCGCTTGCCAGTGGAAAATGGCAAATAGCAGGAAGATGACCCCCACCTTGCCTGAAGACTGATAACTGGCCCAACCTGTCTTCTTACCCAGATCCCTGGAGTAGTTTTTCACCTGGAAAATGTAGGGCTTTTTTGTTTGTTTCCACTTGTCAGCCTCTGCAATACAGGAAAGCATGCTAGAAGGTGGGAAAGGGTATTATGTTCCAATCAAGCATATCCCACAAAGTAAGTTTTATGATGAGACCTTTAGGCATAATGGAAGTAAAGAAGCCTTCCACAGTGCTTTTCAGATACACTGACCTATTGTATTCCCACATACTTACTCTTCTAGTATGCTGTCCTTTGCTTCTTCTCTTAATATGTTTTTTTTAATTGATTTTTTTTTTTAGAGAGAGAAGAAGGGAGAAGTAGAGAGAGCTTTGAAACACCAATGTGAGAAACACCAACGGGGTGCCTCCTGCACTCCCCCTACTGGGGATCAAGCCCAGACCTGGAATCCAACAGGGACCTGTCAGTCCATGGGGGGCGATCAGTCCACTGAGCCACACTGTGGTATGGCCTCTTCTTCTCTAAAGGCACTAATTAGAAGGAAAAGCCTAATTGGTAAAAAGAACCGGGCTTTCCACTAAGATAGTAATGACTAAAGCAAAAATGTTAGCATAGGGAAAGGTACACATTATTGAGGATCATTATATAGTAGAGAAGAGGATATTTGACGATGATTATTATACATAGTTAGTTCATCATCAATTTCATCAATTATTCTGGTTCTGGTGACTTTCCTGATTACATAGCTTATCTTTCGCCCACATGTGTGCTTATTACAGGCATCCAGGTACTGCACAAGTTCAGACCAATGGAAGAAAAGAGCAGCAAACATTGAACTGAATGAAACTCAAAAACAAGAAATTAAAGAGGCCTTTGATTTATTTGATATTGATGGGTCTGGAACCATAGGTGTAAAAGAATTGAAGGTTGTAAGATTACTTCTAATTCTAAAACATTTAAAAAACTGTGTCCTTTATTTGTGGCAATCTTTTAAGTCTTTAACTGGCCTTCTGAAAGCTTGATGTAAGGTCCCTTCAGTGCAGACAGCTGCCTCACACTGACAGAACAGTATCTTGTTGAGCATTTTATTCTTGTTTTATAAATGAACTGGCCAAAGCCCAAGGGGTGACAGTGACATGTCCTCAGGCACAACAGGATTAGAAGGCCTGCTGAGCCAACTTTCTAGGTTTATACCCTGTCCATAGTAAAAAAAAAAAAAAAAGAAAGAAAAAGAAAAGAAAAGAAAAAGAATCTAGTAATTGATAGGTACTTTTAAAGCTAGGAATGAGATCATGGCATAATTTATTTGCTTCCTATTTCAGATTGCAATGCAGGCCTTAGGATTTGAACCAAAGAAAGAAGAAGTTAAACAATTGATAGCTGAAGTCGACAAAGAAGGAACTGGCACCATTAGTTTTGAAGACTTTTTTGCCATAATGAGTATAAAAATGGTATGGTAGTGATTGTGTTTTACAAAGAAGTACAATCAGAGGTTTCATAGAAGAATTTAAAGATGCTTGGGGTTTAGACAGGAATAGCAAGATTAAAGATGTTTTCAGGGTAGTAACAAAGACTGTCCAGTGTGAAGAGGTTATTTTTGTTAGGAAATACTAGGATATGTAGATGGATCGAATGGGACCAGCAATGTGTAGCCTTCAACTCCACAAATATGTATTGAGTGCCTATTTTTGCCAGGCACTATTCTGGGAACATTGAACGAAACAACTTCCTTGTGACCTTGGAGCCCATGTGTTTGTAACGGATCTCAGTTCCTGGGGTCAATAAGAAATACATCCTCTTTACCACCCTGGGCCTCTCCCACTTCAGTAGACACTGAGTGCAAATACCTGAGGGCAGAGGTGAGTGCAAATACCTGAGGGCAGAGGTGAGTGCAAATACCTGAGGGCAGAGGTGAGTGCAAATACCTGAGGGCAGAGGTGAGTGCAGATACCTGAGGGCAGAGGTGAGTGCAAGTACCTGAGGGCAGAGGTGAGTGCAAGTACCTGAGGGCAGAGGTGAGTGCAAATACCTGAGGGCAGAGGTGAGTGCAAATACCTGAGGGCAGAGGTGAGTGCAGATACCTGAGGGCAGAGGTGAGTGCAGATACCTGAGGGCAGAGGTGAGTGCAAGTACCTGAGGGCAGAGGTGAGTGCAAATACCTGAGGGCAGAGATGAGTGCAAATACCTGAGGGCAGAGGTAAGTGCAAATACCTGAGGGCAGAGGTGAGTGCAGGGCGGACCTGAAAAGGCAGAGCAGGTGGTCAGGGCAGAGCTCAGCTACCTGGTCGGTGCTGCTCTCCACCTCAAACACCTGCAGGTCCAGCTTCATTGAATAAATAAATGAAAGACTAATAACATTGAGCTATTTCTGTTTTTAAAGAATGAAAAAGATGAAAAGGAAGAACTGCTGAAAGCTTTCAAATTATTTGATGATGATGATACTGGAAGCATAACATTAAATAACATCAAGAGGGTTGCTAAGGAACTGGGGGAAAATTTAACAGATGACGAACTTAAGGTAAATTTTACTTATTTTTACATGTACTTATAGTTTACATGTATAATTATATACAATTATTTATGTATAGTATAATTTAAATAGTATTACTTAATTGTACTCATACATACATTTAAATTAAATTCTTGAGTATATATTTCAGTATTCATTTGCATCATTCATTTTTAGTAGAGTTCACATATCATATTTATGTTTTGATTTACAGGAAATGCTTGATGAAGCTGATCATGATGGGGATGGAGAAATAAATGAGGAAGAATTTTTGAGAATGATGCAAAAGACCAGTCTTTATTAATACTGTGTGTGTTTTTTGTTGTTGTTGTTGTTCCTTCTGGAAGTTAACAGATTTGTATGTGTTACACAGTTCTATAATATCTGGATATTCATTTTCAATTTTCAGTCTATATGCACAGGTTAGTCTCTTGATGTCTAACCCATGTGAGAAGTTACATGTTTCTACCAATATGTTATTAAATCTACAACATCAATGAACAAAATGTAATGACTTCCTTGAACCATGAATCCAAGAAAAGTATTAATTCTAGCTGCCAGGATCCAAGGACTAATCATTTTTTTAAAAGTTTAATGAAATTGGCCCCACATGCAAATGAATTTGGCAAATAAGCCATTACTTACCCATTATTTTCTTGTGTGCAGCTCTTTAAAAACTGGTGACCATTTGCTTTTTCAGCAGTTATTCAGACCTGTAAAATATTAAATAAAACTGTCTGGTAGCTACATTATTTGCTATTTTTCTTTCTATAAAGAAATTCAAAGCGGCATTTGTATCACTCAGATTTCCCTACCAGTTTGACCCTATAAGATAGCATTTTTAAAAATATCAATGTCCTAGATATATTAATCTCAGTTAATATATTACAACTTGGAAGCTGGTAGTATTAACTCCAACTACATAAGGGAAAAACGAAGGTTCAGAAAACTTAAATTTAAAAATTGCTTTATTACCCATAGATACTAAATAAAACATGGATTATAAATTTTGTATCTTTGCCCTGGTTGGGTAGCTTGGTTGGTTGGAACATCGTCATGATTCGCCAAGGTTGTGGGTTTGATCCCTGGTCAGGGCACATACAAGAATCAACCAATGAATGCATAAATAAGTGGAACAACAAATCAATTTCTCTCTCTCCTTTCCTCTCTCTGACATTAAAAAATAAATAAAAAATTATCTTTTCTCCCATTACGCTGCTTCCCTGTGGAAAAACTCTCAGGATAAGTATATTTTCTAGGACTCTTGTAACTGAACTGTCCGTGTTTTCTCTGTGAGAGCGCATCTGTCCGGAAAAGCAGTCCCTGCAGGCAGTGGTTCGTCCCTCCCTGGGCCGAGTGAAAAAGGGCCTTGGGCCAGGATCACTTCCTCAGGGAGAGTCCCCACAGCTTGTGCTGGACGTGTGACCTTGTCTGAGAATCTCTCTCTCAGACTCAACGTGGACCTCCGTTCTGCTTCAGCATGTGTGTCATATGGCACCTGGCCAGCCCTCTGCTGTCTGTCCTCTTCGGAAAGGTCGCGAGGGGTGGGTGCGGGCCATGTGCCCTGCAGCCCCGGAACCCACGTTCACTGCAGAAGCTGATCTAGCACCGTTCCTTCTGCGCATGAGCAAGTCGCTGCTCCCTCTGGTCCTTGACGGTGCTGTGTCTTCCTTGGCAACTCTGACACCAAGCTGCAGGGCAGAAGTGCTGAGACTTTCTGATCCTGATAACAGGCGACGATGCCACCTGTGGGACCCACGCTGTCTAAACCCAAGTAAGGGTCTCTGGAGTGAGACTTGTAAAAAAAAAATGCAACTTTAAACGCCCCACCTGAAAAAACAAATCTGATTTAAAAAATGGGCAGAGGACATGAACACTATTCCCAAGAAGGCATACAGATGGCCAACAGAGAAATGAAATGATGCTCAAAATCACTAGTTAGAAAGGAAATGCAAATCGAAACCCCAGTGAGATACCTCATACCCTTTATTTTCTTTCCTCACCTGAGGACATTTCTCCATTTTTGTTCAGATAGTGTGGGAAAGAGAGAGAGAGGAACATCGACGTGAAAGGGACACATCAAGTGGCTGCCTCCTGCACCACCTCAACCAGGGCCGGGGACGAATCACAACCGAAATACGTGCCCTTGACTGGAATCGAACCTGTGACTCATGGTCCACAGGCAGACGCTCTAACCACTGAGCAAAACCGGCTAGGGCAAGATACCTCGTACCCTTTAGAAAGGCTGTTATCAGCAAGACAAAAGTACCAAGTTGGAGCGAATGTGGAGAAAGGGAAGCCCACTCCCAGGATGTAGTATTTCCATGTCCAGACTGAAAGTCCGGGGATGTCCTGCCCCTCGCCCCCACTCCTGGCCTGAACTCGCATTGCAGCCTGCGGCAGGCCGGCTACCCCATCAAGCTCTCGCCCAGGTCTGCGCTCGCAGATGCTGTCCCCTGCCGGGTCTTTCGGAGCTCACCCTGACACCTGTCACTCCGGAGCTGGCCGGGGCTGGTGCAGCAGGGCACGTGGCCGGTGTTGTTTGTTTCTCTCGAATCCCTGCTCTAGAACTTCCCCTCTCAAGTCCTAGACACTTCGGCAGCCCTCCAGCTCCAACCTGTTTCTGGCGAATAGCTGTATTTGGTTTGGAAAAAAGAGGTTGGATTCAAACCTGTTATTCATGCTCCCTCATTTTTACTTCCAGGACTCTGATGAAATGGCAATGTTAGTGACAGTTACTGAGTCCTTCTGTGTATTGGGTCCTGCTCTCCCTCCTTCACATGGATTTTCTGAGCAAGCCCTATGCCTGCGGGACACGGCTTTGTCGTTCTGATTGTATAGACGAGGACAGAGGGTTTAAGTGACCAGCTCCTCAGCACATGGACAGGCAGTGGCTTATCCGGATACCACGTGAGGGCTGCTGCTCCCCCTGGGGCTCTGACCCTCTGCTCGGCTGCCCATCACCCCTGGGCAGGTGTCATCTTTACCCAGGAGAGGCCACCAGCCCATATTCCCAGGGGCAGAGAAGCAGGAAAGTGAATCTTTGTTGTTCGGAAAAGTGAGTGAAGTCAGACGTAAGGACAGTGGTAAATCTGGAGAAGTGAAATGAAAGGAAAAGACACTTGGAAAAAAATTTAAACAATAGATTTAAGTCTTTGTAAATTCAATAGCAGAGAGTCATGCAGTGGTCAAGAGTAGGCTATCAAGACAAGCAAATAGTTTGTCAGATCAGAGATTATAGTGATAAAAGTCATTACTTAATATTTTATGTATGGGCATTGCCTTCCCCTCCCCAAATCAATGTCCCTTGCTTTCTTGGTGATGGCTCATTTTAACCAGAAAGTTTTAAGTATACGTTTAAATATTTGGTAAATGAATGAAATAGGGAAGTACAATTCTAACATTAAGGTTACCCACTGAAATCATGGGTTGGTCACAAGATGGAGCATGGAGGTCACACCACTAGAGGGCGTTGAGGTCTTATCTCAGTTTGGTGAGGGGAGGTGTGCTCTGATTTAGGCTTATTTTGATAGACATAAATCAGTTAAAGAATTTTTTAAAAGATCAAATTAAAGATGTAATTTATCAAGCATAACTTGAGAAAAAAATTACAGAAATTGTATTATTCCTAAACCAACTTCCTTGGTAACTAATTATGAAAAATAAAAAATTTCACTTAAAACCAATCTGATACTATTCAAAATGTAACCCATGGAATTATCAGGGGGAAATACGTTATTTGAAGATTTTAGAAAAACATTTTCCCTTCCAATCTAATTTTGAAGATGTCTGACATTTTCCTCTGACTATATAAGGAAAGAATTCAGTTGTTTCATATAAAAATGGCTAAAAAGAAAATCACCAAACTGTTGACAGTGGTTACTTCTGGACAGGACGGCGTGATTTGGGAGACGGTGAAGCTGTTTGCTTTTTATTCATCATACCTATCTATGGTTTGAATTTTTATGAACATAAATTTTGTAATTTAAAAGAAGTAAAAAATTCACCTCTTTAAAAACTAGGTTAGGAAGATACTATGAAAATAAATTAGAAATATAAGTCCAAGTTTATATAATCTGCTTAAATATTTATAAATATGGTGCCCAAGCGATACGAATAAGCATTGTACAATACAACATCAAAAAGGAAGGATGGGTGGTGGTTACATTGTATACTTGAGCATCTCTTCTGTTGTATACTAGATAGTCACATACAGGCTCTGAAGTCTTCAAGAATCACACTTACTTAATTTGTTCTAGCCCCCAATACACCAGTTTCATTGAGAACGGAACACTTCTATTTTCACACTTCACCAGAGAGTTAATAACAGATCTATAGCCTCGGTTTTGGGAAAAGTGACATAGTCAAAAGAATGAAGTACATATAAACAAAGAAACACCTATCGTCGAAATACATTGTGTTCTGGAATAAGGTCCTTTAAATGAAATTTAAGCTGATGAAAAAATACATAGGTTCACTGTATTACATCAGTTTTCTGTATTTTTATTAGAAATATATAAGTACCTCTTACTTCTCTTGGAAATATATTGTAGCTAATTCAATATCAACCCCTATACAAATTAAGAAGTAAAGCACCGTGAACGTGAGTAGCAACCCCACACTGTTCCCCGCTAAGCAGCGGGGTCCAGAGGCGTGCTCAGCGCTGAGGTGGAAGAAGCATCACGCCTTAGAGTTTCAGGCCAGCTCGGTCCGAAGGCCCCTTCCCGCCCAAGGGACCAGGGTGGCCACAGCCCTTCCACCCACCCAGCAGCGGAACATCACAGAGCTCTCCCGGCCCCTGGCAGAGGACACAGAGCACCCCAATGTCTCGCCAAGCATGTGGAAAGAAGATTATTTTAGGAACACTCTTAGCAGGATAGGATTTAAAATGGACTCTGAACAATCAGATAAGCTGGAGTCTGAGGATGGTTTTTTTCCTTTTTTTTTTTTTGGCAAATAGAGATAAGGGTTCTGAGGAGGAAAGCCACAGATGAGAATGTTGTGGGATGCACTGTGGAGGGCCAGCCACACCAGACACTGGAAGAAGACAGCAGTTCAATTTGAGCCAGAGTAGAGAGCATTTCCTTACCTATGGCTGGCTTAGCACACGTGTGTGTGTGTGTGTGTGTGTGTGTACACTTCCCCTCCCTCCCCTCAACTGTGTATTTTTGGTGAATGTGTAGTATAGACTTATGCTTAAGTTATATTTTGTTGTTATTCCTCAAAAGGAGTTCAGTCCTCCTCATGTGTCTTTTCATGTGTCTATTTTTCATGAAATGTAGGTTAAAAAGTTCCATAAGGTGTCTGAAGAAGGTTGACACTATCTAATTCATGCAGAAAAATTCTTCTCCCCAACTATGTCGCACATGACCAAGAGCATTGTGAAACATGCTTATGTTTGGATATGTTCAGAGTTGCAGCAATAAAACTTCATGTCCTTGAATGTCTCCTACCCGTTGGTTCCATGTTAGGGCATGGAAGGAACCCTTCATATCATCCATTTCTCAGTAATTCAATTATTTGGGTTAATTTGGAAATTTGAGTATCAATTACTAATTCTCCTGCTATACATCTGTGTTGAATAGTATTAAAAATTATCCCACAAAGCACAGCAATGTCCTAATTAAAATCTTCCAGCCAAAATTAATTACAATTGGCAAAACCTCCATTTTAAAGCTTCTGCCAACTTCTCAGTTGTTTCAGAAAATTTCCAGATCAGTAATCTTGTTTTCTTATATCCATTTTCTCCTAAGTGGGAAATCTGACCTCTCCTAAGTAAGTCTAACACCTGCAGCAAGTAAACCAGGGAACACATCAGCCTTGGAGACGATTTGGGGGACAGGAGGGCCAGCTAGGTTCAAACCTGGTCTTCCGCAATTGGACACGCTTTGGATCATTTCAGGCCTAGAAGAAATGGTTGGAGACACGGTCCCTATAGCACATAATTAACAGACATACAGGGTACGCTATGGAGAAAGACAGAAAGCAAGTTTCTAATCCTCAAGTCGCCCTTTAACTAGATCAGACTTTGGCCAAGCCACCCAAAGATCTCGGGGCTTCTATTGCAGCATGTAAAACAGGTCTGTCTGCAAAGCCCTGTTGTACTGCTGAAACCCAGATGATACGAAAAACAACTTCCATCTACGAAGTAAGTGAAACCTATGGAATGTAATGTAACAGTCACTATGCGCTTATCAGCCAGACTTCAAGGATGCAAACAATTTGCTGACATGGGCACAAACCTCTTTTCTTTATTAAGAAATAAAACATTTACAGATACAGCAAAAGTTTCTGTCTTGCCCCCTATCATTTTCCCCTCTCTTCTCAGAAGTATCATTTCCAGGCAATTGCCTGTACTCTGACCTATGCGTGTGTATCCCTAAGATTGTAGACCACCAGTTAGGTGTCTAAATGCCCTTTCGCAGCTGGATTTTTTTACTTGACATTGTATTTTTGAGATTTATCGACATTGATACGTGTTAATATCTATTCCTTTCAACTGCTCTATAGACTCCTGTTGTGTGAACAGTTCACTTTTCTACAGGAAATTAGACTGTTTTCATATTTTTACTGTTAGGGACACCACTATCAGGAACACCCTTACATTTCCTTCGTCCATCTGTATAAGGGCTTTCCTAGGACAGCCACTGTCTGAGCTCGGGCTACCATAACAAAATACACAGACTGGGTGGTTTAAACAGCAGAAATGTACTTTCTCACAGTTCTAGAAGCCAGAAGTCTGAGACCAGGGTGCCAGCATCGTCAGGTTCTGGGGAGCGCTCCCTTCCTGGCTTATAAACGGTCACCTACTCCCTGTGTCCACATGACAGAGAGAGGGCGAGAGATCTCTCTCTCTTTCCTTATCGTATGGATTCAGGGCTCCACCCTATGACCTCATTTAACCTTAACTACCTACTAAAGACCCCATCTGCAGATACCATCACATGAGGAATTTGGGGGGCACCATTCAGTCAACCCACAGGAGTCAATTCGTAATGAAACTGTTGGGTTGCATAAAATCTGCATCTTCAGCTTTTTAAGGTATTTCCAGATTGATCTCCAAAGTGGTTGTGCGAGTGTACATGCCCAACAGCAAGTCTACAGATACTAGAATATTTTTAACTAGAAGAACTTTAAAATCACAATTGGAAGCTCGAGGGTAGAATCCTTTCAAACTGCAACTTCTTTTTCCCATCCCACCAGAACCGAAGTCTTCTCCCCAACAGCTGTCGACATACCGGCTGCTGCCAGTCTGTTGTAGCATGTGTGAAAACCACGCATCCCCTCAACCCGGCAGCACCTCCTTGGAGGCCAATGGCGTGAACTAGAACTGTTGTGGGTTCAGAGTGACGGCTGGAGTTCTTGCCCAGAGAAACCAGGTCTCGTTTGCTGGGAACAAATGATACAGATCAAGTTTCAAGTCCATTGACGTCGAGGCCCCCAGGCTCCAAGTCTTCTCTGGTCCACCTGTGAGAAACCAGTGTTTCAGCTTGATGCTGTGATTTTTTTTTTTTTTCAAATAGGATATTTAATTTTCTTTAAAAATAGTTTAAATGGCATCCGTGTGCCTCCCTCTCATTCCCTCTCCCTGGCGGTGGCCTCACTTAGCATTTTGCTTCCTCACGTCTCTGGCACTCGGGAACCCCTGTTCCCTGTGTTAACCGACGGATCCCTCCTCGGGCCAGCATGGGGAAGTTCCATTAGCCCCCCAGCACCTGTCTGTGAACTGAGCAGTCTGATTAGAGAAACTGATGGTTTCTTCTGTTTCGATCATGTAGACAGTGTATGAATCAAAAGGGATTTCTCAGAGTGAGTTAAACAATCTATTTTCCTTCCCGTATGTGTCACCATTTTTCTGGAAACTCTTACTTATCAGGTAAAACCGAACTTAGGGAGGTTCTCCGACAGCTTAATCATGTTCTTCGCTGGATCCCACAGTGAAGCCAGAAGCTGTGAGCGTCTGCCCCTCTCATTTCCGTGGCAACTGTCTGAGGGCCAAATATAGGACCATTGTGTCGCTGCAGGACCCGCAGAAGAAGGAACTCAGCGGTGAGGAAAACCCCTGTTAGTCAGAAATTTTTCTTTAGGAGGTCAAGACCTTTGAAAAATTAATGGAAAAGTACCAAACAATACTTTTCTTCATATGTGTATTTTTATTGCAGCCTTGTTCTTAACTAGGGAATTTTACATCTGTGTCATCATGAATCCGTTTTCCCTTCGCTGTCCCTTGCTCTGTCTTTCTGAGTCTGTCGGTCTGCCCATAGGAGGCCTCTCTCCCCCAGCAGGAACTGGAGAAATATGTGAAAACGTAATCCAGGCGGCCAGCTATGAATAATGCCATCATCTGTGTGGCTGTCCGAGTGATGAGCCGACAAAGCCGAGCTGCCCGGGCGGTGCTGGCCGAGTCCCTGCGTCCGTGTCCCAGCAGGGCTCGGTGCGGGGCAGGCGCCCGGGTTCGTTCCTCTCGCCTCAGGGCTTTGTCACCCTCGAAGACTGAATTCTGAGAATGTTCCTCGTACATTCCAGTAAGATTTATTTGGATAACCTACCATTCTCTCTGGCATGAAAAATCAGGAAAGTACTCTACTGGCTCCCTTTTTGAAGGAAAAGGTGTGTTGCCCGGGGAGGCGATGCACACAACCCACACGAAAAGACTCGGCTGAAGGTTGTTGCAGCCTGAGGAGAAAACCTGGCCCTGTCCACACATCAGGCTGTTTGACTTTTGGTGGCCACACCTTGATTCTCCACCTTAGGAACTGTTGTTGGCAGTGATAACAGCGAGACAGCCTTATTGAAATATTTCTTGGTTGATAGCTTCTTTAGATTGATAATACTACATCCCAAATTCTATAAGCAGTTAAAGAGATTTTACTAGGACTTGTAAACTGCTAACTAAGAGTGTTTGCATGGAGTCTAAGAGAAAGAAACAGCCCGTGCATTTCAGGTGAACGCTGAGGGGTGCTGGGGTCCAAACCTCCTCTGAAGCTTAGGAGGAGGGGCCTGTCCCCAAACAGCCTGTGCGGGAGCCCACCGCCTCCAGGAGCTGCCTCACCCGGGGACCCCACCTCTTCCTTGGCTACCTGACAGCTGGTGGAGTGGCCAAAAGTAGTGCCAGTCTCTAGACATGTGCCCACATCTGTGGATCAAGAAGAGGAGTATTTTGATCTGTTTTAAAGAGCACGGAGTCCCTCGTGTACTTGGGAGCATGGCTGTACCTGCCCTGGGGCACACGGCGCCAGATTCCAGTGCTGTCGAAGCTCTCTCGTTCCCTGGCTCATCCCTGCTCTCCCGGAACTTTCCGGCTCCCCCTCAGACAGCACATCGCCAACGCCTCCCCTGTCCACCTGCCACGACCAGAGCCAGGACTGTGCAGCTGAGTGGCGTAGGGGCCCAGCGTGGGGGGGTGCTACTCCTGAGCCTCTCAGCAGTGTGTGAGAACAGGGCCTCCTGAGAGTTTAGAGAGCTCTCGGAGGGGACGAGAGTCCATGCACAGGTGGCCTCACTCCGTCTCGAAGCCCTTGGCTCAAGTCACCTGTGCTCCAGATGCAAGGGCTCCCTTTGGCCTTGACAGGTATTGGAACTGCAAGTAAGACATGAGACACGGATTCAACTCATTTCTAAATACCAACTCTATGAAAGGGAGGCTAGGAAACTCTCAAAGGTTTAAAGATTTCATTAAATTTTTAGAGTTAAAATATGCAACTATCAATAATAGGTTTTAGTGGCTGTAAAATTTGTAGGGAAAATAAATGCTAATGTACATGGCCTTTCTTTTGAGCACATTAGACCCTTAAGAGAAAGACCATGGAGAGAAATGGCTTTCAGAGTGAATTTAAAGAGAGCATTCCAGTTATCAACAGGAACGTCCTCTGTCTATGCTAAGCAGTTTGAGTTTTAAACACTGAGGCGGAATTAACAGGGTTTTAACTGAGTAAGTGAGCGGTGGCAGCTGGCGTGGCGATGCTCGGGGCAGGTGTGGACTGTTGGTGTTCGGAGAGGCTGTATCAGTGGAGGCCAAGGTCAGGGAGCAGTTAGGTCCCCGAGTTCTGAAGTGGAACACACATACACTTCTACTACCTCTCTTAGTTTCAACTTTTACGTTCCTCTTCTAACAAAACCTGACCACTCCTCCCCCATGGAAAAACTGGAGATTCTTCCAGAACTCGAGCCGCTGTGAAACGGGAGGGTGTCCCCTTGCAGTCGTGAGGAGGGCCGCCTGGGAGCTGTGCCAGCCGTCTGGGCCGCACACGGGAAGGATTTCCGGCGGGGGACAGAACAGCAGGGACTGGGCACAGGAGTCCTAACTGCCTCTGGCCCCTCCAGCTTTCTGACTGCGGCCGGTACCCAACTCGGACCACCAGCCAAATGACAGGGGCCAAGCACTGGTGTGTCAGCCTGCGCCCGCACTTTTTAAACGCCCTGATTAAATGGTTTGGGTCCCTCCAGGATGGAGAACCCATCTTAGGCCTGAGACTAAGTGGGCTTTTGGTTGTCTTTGCAAATACGAATCATGGGTCAGGCATGTCTGGGAAGGAGAGAGGGAGAGCGAGAGAGAGAGTCCACGTCCACTAGCCGTGTGGGAGAGGACACCACGGCTGAGAGACAGTGCGGGTCCTCACTGTCCATCCAGACAGCGACCCTGCCCATGTGGGAAAGGAGACCCAGTACACAGCAGGCTTCAAGCGATCGCTCCTCTTCCTTTGGAAAGAGCGAGAAGGAGAAAGGGGACAGCAGAGAGAGCAGGGGACCGAGCCGGAGGACAGCGCTTCCCTGCGCACGTGGCACGTGGGGTAGTCGGTGTTTCAGTTCGGGTCTGCAGTTAAGTGGGCTGGTGGATGTTTGCCAGAAACATTACCCAGCGTTTCCGTAGGGAAGGTGCTCCGAGTTCCTGACGGGTGACTCATGAGTGAGCTGGGCTGCAGCGCACGGAGCAGACTCAGCGACCTTCCGTGCCCTGGGGGTCCTGCGGGAGGCGTGGCCCTGTCCCGCTGACACCTCTGTCCCGCTGACACCTCTGTCCCGCTGATGCTCTGTCCCGCTGACGCCCTGTCCCGCTGACGCCCTGTCCCGCTGACACCCTGTCCCGCTGACACCTCTGTCCCGCTGATGCTCTGTCCCACTGACACCCCCCCATGCTACAGCGTGAGTGCAGACACGCTGTCTTCCCAGACTGTCCAGCAAACACGTGTTTCAGCAAATTGCACAAATCGGAGTTAATCACTTACTGAGCTCACGAGTGCAAACAATTACTCTAGAAGTAATAGCGCTTCAAAAAAATGGTATAAATTCTTCACTGGACTACAAAAATGATGGTATCAGTTAGCTTTTGGCCCATTATATACACCACATCCCAAAATGCAGCGGCTCAAATCAAAATGACGACCCCAGAGCGGGGGACGGCCCGGGCTCGTCAGGGCGCCGTGTCATTCCCTGGTCCGTCTGTTGGCCGAGGCAAGTCACGGGGCTAAACCCAAAGTCAAAGAGTGGGAAGGGCATTCTGCTCCCTTAGCAGGAGAAATGACAAGGTCTGTGGCAAAAGGAAGAGGCAGACCACCGGAGCCCATTAGGCCATCTTCCACCATGATCACTGTTCAGTAACCTTAGGTTAGATGCTGCTACTTGAAGTTTGGGGTGGCTCTGGGAGTGTGTGGAGGTTAGGGGTCACGGGACGGGGAGCAGACGAGCTTTGGGGCGGCATGTCTTGCAAAGGCACCACGCCTGAACTGTTTTAAAGCATCTGACCTACTGCTCCTGCAGAGGGAGCCGGAACCCTCTCTCTCCCTCAGCTGCGACAAAGGCAGCCAGGAACTTTCTCATGAAGTCAGGTCGATGCCCCGCAGAAGCAGAAGCACGTAAGGGGCAAGTAGCTAAAGGAAATAGGCACACCTTACCAGTTTTGAGGAGTTCCAGGTAATTGGGGAAGTCTTGAGAAGGGCCCCAAGGTGCCAGACATATGCCTATGGCTAACTACCCTTGTCTGGGTTACACAGGGGAGAAAATTATGGAGTTATTGGCTTGATGACTATTCTTAACTTTTAAAAAAATTTTATTTGCCCTGGCCAGTTTGGCTCAGCGGTTAGAGCGTCGGCCTGCGGTCCGGAGAGACCGGGGTTCGGTTCCCGCTAAGGGCACGTACTTCGGTTGCAGTTTGTCCCCGGCCCTGGTTGGTCGTGCGGGTGGCAGCCACTCGATGTGTCCCTTTCACATCGATGTTTCTCTCTCTCTCTCCCTCCCACTCTATCTGTACAAAAAATGGAAAAATATCCTCAGGTGAGGATAAAAAAAAAAAAATTTTATTTATTGATGAGAGAGAGAGAGAGAGAGAGAGAGAGAAACATCAATTTGTTGTTCACTTATTTATGCATTCATTGATTCTTGTGTGTGCCCTGACCAGGGATCAAACCCAGACCTTGGCGTTGGGGGATGATGCTTTAACCAACTGATCTACCCAGCCAGAGCCACTATAC